TCGTACCTGTAGTGCCGGATAAGTGTAGAAGACACACAGACAGACAACAACACAACCAGTACTGTCATACTGCATTAATAAGCTCTTGCCACCATGACTTCCCGATAGTTTCTATACTTCTATCCTGCTTGTGGCATACCACACTGAACTCCGTTCTGTCTCCTTAGTTTCTTTGAAGGAAACCTGTGGTCCAAAACAGGGTATTAAAACTACATGATAGACCAAGTAACCACTGTAACACAGACGTTAGAACAAAACTGGGTGTTTGAATGTAGGCTATGTTAAGTGACAGCATACGGCATGCCATAAAGGTCAATAACAAACAATGCCAGTTCCGACAACTCAACACTATTCACCTTATCACACTCTCTCTTCTTCTCCAGTTCTTCTCGCTTCTCCTCATCTTTACACGCCTCGAACTCTGACTGTGAGAGATAAAACTTAAGCGCTTCTACAAAGTAGTGCTGGTACGGGGCTGCGGTGTGTGCCGTAGAGTTGTGTAGTTTTGCGTAACGTAAACAGTGAGTCAAGTTCACAATGTTACTGACAGACAAGAATAAAAACTCCACTTACATATTACCAGTGCTAGCGGAATGTTGAGTTCTACGTATTTGTATATACTCGGAGGGAATGGGGAAGACCAGCTTTGGTTATGGAGTTTGACACTAACATAGTGACTTTGCCACCCACACTTCCCAAACCAAGTATGGACATGTTACACACACTTCACAAAGTACATACCATTATTTTGTGCAATCTTTCCAGTGACTCTGACTCCTAGAGGTGCAAGAGAAGAAAGGACATTAGTAAAAATGATACTACATTTTGTTGGGAAATTCTCCTGTTATCCACTTCAATTTACCCTAAATCTAAATTGGCGAGTGAGGCAAGCCTGCCTAGTCGTCTGAATGTGGGGGAAAATATCAGTGTAGCAGTGAGGGAAACCATGTTTTGGCCTCAAACATAAGGTTTACATGTTAGCATGCTTTGTGTAGCAATTAATATCATGTAGTGTAGAGCACTCTGCATAAGCTGTCATGGGTTCAGGTCCCACCCAGGCACTGTATCATGTAGTGTAGTGTTAGCAAATCATGAATGTAAAGCACTCTGCATAGGCTGTAGAATGTCAGCTCTTTTTCTTTGATTGGGTCATTGCTTCACACAATGCCTTGCTTTCAAACCTCGCGTATGATTCATGTCTGCACACATTAATATGATGGTGTGTATAGGTCGTGGCTTCCGTGCATTTGGACACAATAAGTATGATGGTTGGTGAGTCACAGCTTTGGTGCATGTGGAAACGTAATGAAAACCCCTTTTGTATATCGACTTCCTACGATCTGTGCGGCACGGTCGAAGCTAGACTTCCTACAATGACGGAAGTTACACTTCCTTTGGTGACTAATTGACTTCTCTAAGAATGGTAATCAACGTACAACAAACATTGATACTTACCTCATCATACTCTTTCAACCTCTCCTGCAGTTCTCTCCTCTTCTCCTCATCTATACACTCACTCAACTCTGACTGTAACCTCTCCTTCCTCCTCTACATGTCATGACAGAGAAAAGAGAATGCTGAAGAACACAGAGTTTCAAACACCACTATCATTACTGAGTGCATAAATGGGAGCTTGCAACAGAGCAAACATTAAATTTGAGAGGTTTCAGTTTTCACAGTGGTCAAACAACCTGCGAAAACTTAAAAATTCCTATTTTCTCCCCTTCACTCATATGTGTACATGTATGTCTGATGCTCAATACAAGAATAGAAAAGGGCAGCAGTTTTGGTTATGGAGTTTGACAATAATGTACTGACTTGCCACCCAAACTTTCCAAACCAGTACAAACGTGGTTTTCACCAAGCTATATATACATACCGTTATCTCCTGCAATCTTTCCAGTGTCTCTGACTCCTAGAGGTGCAAGAGAAGAAAGGACATTAGTAACATTTGGTTGGGAATTTTCCTGTGGTCCACTTCAAATCTTAATTGGTGAGCAAAGCAAGCTGCCTAGTCGTAAATGTGGGGAAATAGCAGTGTAGCAGTTGGGGGAAATCATGGGATTTGGGCTCCAACATAAGGCTTATCTGTCAGCATGCTTTGTTTAGCAAATAATCATGAGTGTAGAGCACTCTGCATAGGCTGTAGAGTGTATGTTCAGGTCCCACCCAGGGCAGCTCTTTTTCTTTGATTGGGTCATTGCTTCACACAATGCCTTGCTTTCATACCTCAATGAATGATTCATGTCTGCACACATAAATACATTATGATGGTGTGTATGTGAGTCATGGCTTTGGTGCATGTGGAAACATAATAATGGTAACCTCATGGTTTAGCCTCATTGGTGTCAACTTCAGTACAAGGAAATTGGTACAAATATAGGTTAGACTATGGGGTCCGAGGTGAATACTAGAAGTCAGAAACCCGAGAGGCTGCGCAAGCGAAATGGCGAAGAATATCCACCGAACACCCTACTGCACATCCTCTTTGGTCTGTCTCGTCACTTTCGCACAACTAGGCATCCTACAATTCATTTCAAAGATGCTCAGTTTGCAGAGCTGTGAATGACAGTCGACGCAGAAATGAGAAGAATACAGAAAAAAGGAGTTGGTTCCAAAAAAAGGCAGGCCGAGCCAATCACCGAGTCGGAGGAAGACCAAACTTTGGGAGAGAAGGGGAATTGGGAAGACCACATTCCTCAAACACTACTAAATACTGTTGTGTACATGGTTGGCGCTCTATTTCGTTATACGACACCTGTTAGAACTGAGAGCAGAAACGAGGTGCAAAAACAACTATTTATACCATGATTCTTGTAAAATGGCTTGTTTCATGTAGGTTTCGTGTTAATTCTGTAAAATTCGAGGCGTATACGGTAAATCAGAAACCTCGTTTATGGGCCAAATCATGGTATAACTGCAAATAGTGATCAACAGGTCTGTACATAATAACATTGATACTTACCTCATCATACTCTTTCAATCTCTCCTGCAGTTCTCTCCTCTTCTCCTCATCTTTACACCACTCAACTCTGACTGCAACCCCCCTTCCTCCCCTACATGTCATGACAGAGAAAAGAGAATGCTGAAGAACACAGAGTTTCAAACATCACTATCATTACTGCATAAATGGGAGCTTGCAACAGAGCAAACATTATAATTTGAGAGGTTTTTTTAAAAAAATGTGGTTTTCAAATGTGGGGCTTATTTCTACAAACAACCTGAGAAAATTTAGAATTCCTATTCCCTAGCCCACCCCTCGAAACAGTTTCACAACAACATGTGTACATGTCATGTCTGATGTGCTCAATACAAGAATAGGGCAGCAGCTTTCACTTACTTTAGTGTCTGTATTCCATTGCGCTAATGGTGCTATAGGGTTGACGTGACCAGTATAAACAACATAATAGATATTTTAACCCATGCTAAAAGGCTGCCAATACACCATGTCACACTGGCATCATTGCCAAGACTATGTACCAACTGGTGTGGTTCCCATTGGTGTATTAGGGAGTCTGTAAAACACTGGACTCTAATCAACCAACTATGAGGGATCATGTGTTAGAGAACGGGTGCAGTGTGCTTCTGCTCATCCTATGGACATGGAAATGCTGCGTAGGCAGAAGCCAGGGCTGAGCGACAGGCTTGGGCCAGGGCTTAGATATTGTATGCTCAGGAGAGTTGGGAGAAGCCACAGTATACCCTGCATGTCTGTTTCTGGAGCTGAGACACAACTGGAGGCCTGATGGGCATGACGTTAGCACTGTCTAGTTTGCCATGCACAGGCATCTAGTTCATGTCTCAGGCATACATGTGCTAGTCTCCAGGCAATACAGAGTGACTGGTCTCCAGACACTGTAGGGTATACAATATGCCTGGGAAAGTGGGATACTAAAACATTCAGGTTATCTCCTCACCATTGCCTGTATTTCGAAATGCAGTGATTGTTTCTCCACCCATTGGACTATAGCCTCTAACCCTAGCTTCCTCCAAGCCTCGACTATTCTTAGAACATTAGTCCATTCCAGTCCAGTGTCTTTACCTCAGCCCTACATCCAATTGTAAAAATGCTAACATCATTGGAATCCTTGCATTCTGAAGGTATCCTTCACTAACCACGAAGTCCTACAAGAACAGTACACCTTAAGTAACGTATGTGGTGCAGTAAAACACGTTACGACACCACTTCTGGGGCTCAGGTGAAGGGTGAATGAGTAGACCTACATGAGTGTGAAGTTTTGAGATACATTCTGGCTGTTATGGCCTGCATTCATTGCAGTGATACCTTCTGTTGTCAATCGCAAGTATGATACGTTGTAGGTATCCTAGCAATATCTGAAAGAGATGACACCACACAAGTGCTAGAACAAATACACACATTTATTCTGACATTTCACAGATGCTAATACACACTACCGATATATTCAGATCTCTCCATCGTTCTCCCCTCTCTTGCAGTCTCTCATCTCCTGGATGTGTAAGAGGATAGAGATCATATACGTATGGAGCACAAGGACAAGGGTGTTCCCTGTACAAGACACACCGTTCACCCTGGCATGTGTTTGGCCTCAACCAGGTTTGATTCCACTACTAAGTCTTAATCCATACAAGCTCTGGGTGGGCATCAGAAACAATCCAGCTCCAATAAACCACTGTGGACAGTTTTGTAGAACTGAAGCAGACTTTACTATACACTTCGATCAGCAGATATTACGCTACACGTCTTATGTGTGTGCAAGACTGCAGATAAATCTTCCAAGCAAAGAATCAGAGAGTGACAATAGGCTTTTTGTTTAAGAAGCCAGAATATGCAGTCCCACGTATTACAGGTCAAGAACCGGAGTGGGCGCATCATAATGTAGGAAGTCTACTGAAACATACACAGCCAACCCTACAGAATGCTACCTACGTAATCCTCTAATAATGCGGTGTCTCCATGAAAAGCTAAACACAGAGACTGTGCCTTGCAAGTTGTCTGAAGGTCAGAGGGTTTTCTGTACAGTTGTGAAGAGTAGGCTAGGGCACATAGAGCAATGGAGAGGAACAGACATATTGACTGTAAATCTT